CAAAGCGCAAAGAACCATAAATCTTACGCAAAACCTTTCTCTCGAAAACTCCTAACGCCGACTCATCAGATGTTGACGGATGGGAACGATGAGCGACTTGGAGAGTTTGTTTTTCGCACGTGGAGAGAGGACTTTACTTTCCCATTGCCTTTCCAGTTCAACGTAGCTTCTTTTGGCAAAAGTGATTCTGCGCTCGATTTCCAGGCTGACATTGTTGCCGGTGTTAATACTGGTTCCAAAATAGACGAAATTATCTACGACCTCGAAGTTATGACTGTCAACAGTTACCTGGGAGCCTAGTCGCGAATACGATGATTGATTGTGGGATGAGAGGAGATATTTCGTCTAGCCCTAGTTGGCTCCCAGATACATATCCTTGGCTTCCTTATCCAGTCTGTAGAAAGCAGTATTCAGGGATTTACAGTTTATACTAAGCCGCCTCCGAACGACTGATGATTTTTTTACGAGGAGCCTTTAATTCATGACCGAAATACACTCGGAGGAGTTGACACTCCCTGCCGAGGGGCGACAGCAATTAAAAAAATTAATTTATAAGTATTGTTTTTAAATTTTTTATGTTAGGAATCCTTTTGTTAATCTAAGATAATCTGCGTAGCTGGATGATTTTGCGTCGGACCTTCATATTTTAAGGTCACCCCACTTTTAGTTTTTTTTTTTAAATAGAATGTCTTCATAAAGTTTACCATTTGTATGCAATTGTTATTTACTGTTATAATGCATTCAGTTCAATGACTTAGTTCATGGAAAGTATTTATTTTTGTTAAGAACTAGAAGGTGTAAACAAATGAATTTGGCGAATGCGAACTCGTTATTTGAATATAATTAGTAGAGATTTTGTTTGTATTAAGTTGAGATAATTATTTTTTTTTTATTATTTACTCTTCTACTACAAATATAACCCAAAAATAACTAAACTGGATTTGGACTTCATGCAAAAATTTATAAATGCGCATAAGTGCAATGAATGAGTTCATGTATGGCATTCCTCAGAAAGGCTAGAAAAGGAAAGAATATAATGATTTTAAATGAAATCTAGCATCTCAACTCCAAGAAAACTATGCGAATTTCTCCTATTTTATTTTTACATATACCTCGATCTGATATACTAAACACTGCTGATATGCTCTCCTCGGTATTGAAACAAAGAAAAAAAACCGTGAAAGGTTTTTTTTTCGAGCAAAGATATATGCATAATATTTACGTATAAATACGGTATCTCACGCATGGCAATAGGTAAAGAAGAAATATTTGTAGGTGTGTAGTCACAGCAACTGATAAAGGATAAGACCTTTGAAGAAAAACTGAATGACCTAGAAAAACTAACATGGCAATGTTTTGTGAATGAAACATCTTGAAATCCATACATCAGAAAATTATAAAGAATAAATATTTTTTTCTTTTGATAGTTATAAGCTGTCACTTGCTTTAGAAAAAAAGTACGCGTAATTTTGTTTATATTTGTTTGTTTGTCGTAAATTTTAAATTTTATTATGCATCCTACAAAAGAAACTTTTTGATATATTTTACTTTACTATTTCCTTCAAGGATATACTGCGGAGCAGTTTGCTGAAAAGTTGCATAATTTGTAAGGCAATAAGGCCTTGAAAGAAACGCAGTGTCGAAATTAGTTTATCAAATTCCGTTCGGAAAATTTTTCACTCAAAGATAGCCACGTTCAGGTCGGCCAAGTGAAGTTAATGATGACGATATCACGGTTTTAATCGGATCAGATCGTCATGTAGCTGAGCGTGAGATTGATGAGAAGTTAAATATACCAAAATCAACCATTCATAATCCTCCACGATGTCTTGGACTGGTAAAAAAAAACTTGAAATTTGGGTTTGAATTGAAATAAATCATTTAACACGCAGCTTAAACGCTTCTGATATACATCTTAAACGCAATTAATATGATCAGTTTCTTAAGCAAATCATAACAGGAGAAGAAAATTGGATTGTTTCGTACAAGCATGACGGAGCGCCAGAAACCACTTCAAAGGCTGATATTCACGAAAAGAAGAACATACTGTCAGTTTGGTGAGATTGGAAGGGTGTGTTATATTTTGAGCTGCTTCCAAGGAAACAAACGATTAATTCGGATGTCTATTGTGACGGATGTGAATTTGACAAATTGAATACACCCATCAACGAAAAAATTTATTTAGATTTTTTTTAAGAATCGCCGGTTTCTTTTTGGGGCAACCTAATGAATGCACTATAACAGCACACGAGTGTAACGCATTATGCCATTAAAAATACATATTTGTACTGTATTTTGATTTGGATTTTTTTCCCTGCTAATTCACATGCCGTGAGTGACGATCAAGGCAAGAGGTTCCATCAGGACATATCCTTAGTGGAAAAGCGTTATCAAGGCAAATGGAGTCCAGAAATCTCCAGACAATTCTGTTGTCACTGTGCAAGACACCGAACTCCTCCGAAATGGTTTTACCGATGTTAATGAAATTTTACGTACATCTTCAGTAGGTCTGAGAATAACATTATATTTATTTTTCACACCCCTAAGTGATAAGTCGACCCCTAAAAAAATTTTTTTAGACAATTTCTTTTAGACAATTTTTTTTTTTAATTCTTATATGATGTGATGTGTATTTATTTGTAATGACATATTTTTTCCAACTAAAAAAATTTGTTTCCAGTTTTTGGTGTGACCGGGTCTGCTAGTATGTACATGTATATAGTAAGTTAAGCAATCCAATTTTCTAAGTGTAGATTTTTGCATTTCTTTTGAAAATAGATATTTTAATCTCACAAGAAAACATGACATGTACATATTTTTTAATGAATATATTATTATTGTTTGCTGGCCCCAAGTACCTTCAACTTTCGTATAAGTTTTAATGTGATAAAATGAAAATCCTCAATTTTAATGGAAGGCAATATAAGAAAGCTGCAGCATTGTGTGACTGGATGAGCTACAATAGATTGCATATTCATGTCATATTCTCACATCGCAGTTTGCTTGTACTTTTATTTTAATAAATTTAAATATTTTTAAACAATAAAAATATTTATATATTATTTTCAGTCAGTTTGTAGGCAGCAATGAAAGCAGGTCCCCTCCCCTTTTCTTTAACAAACTTTTGTTAGAATTAAATAATACAAAATCGAAGGATTATCATCCAGCTAAATTCTAATACTACTTTATTAAGTGTGGTATTCATATTGTTTCTATATTAAACACTGAAGAGATCCATCCAGCTACGAAGCTCATAGTCTGATGAATTCTTTTAAAATTCCAATATACAATATTTAACCAAATTTTTTGCAGGCATCAAAGGACATTTTTCTTGAAAGCAAAATTAACTAATTACTTTTCCTAAATGAAGAAACTGCAAATCCAAAACATTTACATACATACATATGTTTTTACTTTACAGAGTATATTATACCTATATAAAGCTTTATTACGCTGACTATTTCGTATATATGTATACATGAAAAAGTCGTAAACATACCGCCACAACTACAAAGATCTATTAATCAGTGTCACTGTCAAAATACTTTTTACAAATTTCTTAAAAATTCGGCAATAAGTTAATAAGCGTACTTACAAATGTGTATATACATACATATACATATGTACAAAAATATGTAATTCCAAAGCAGAAAAGCCAACAAATTCATTTGAAACAGAACTACCTGTAGAACCTGTTCAGCCCTCCTGAAGCCGTTATAAGATTAAAAAAACAATTATTTTGTATAAAAAATTTGCAAAGCTAAACACTTTCTTTCAAATGAAACAAAAAAAAAAATAATTATTTATTTTATACTACTTGTATTCAAAAAAATCCTACATACATACATACATATATGAGGCTATGCAGAATGAATTCTAATTGTTAATTAATACATACTCGTATAGCAATTGGATTTGCAACTGCGACAATTAGAATAAAAAATATTGCGAATAAAATCGTTTACGAGCGCACAGCTAAGTGCCTTATAACGCCGCCGATGATTGTTATCGGCTGGCGTGATTTTTCGATTAATTTGTAAATATCCAGTTCACACTCACATAACACACACTGAACGAGTGAAGCTACTATGCACATACACGTATTCAGGCTGTCCTACACTCCATTCGACGTAAATTTACAGCAGCTTGAGGGCATAAGGAAGCGCGGCCAAACTCTTCCTGAATTTCTGTTAATTTGACGTTTATGTCGAAGAAAGAATAAAGTTATTTTACTCCTGTGGGCGGCTTCAACGAGTGCAGATATACGTGTATGTATGTATGTATGCACATAAATATGTATGTACAAATGTACGTACGAGCATGTTTGTTTCGCCCAAAACACGTCATGTTGCTCATACGCACAAGTAAACGCACGCGTGCGCTTAAACTAAATGCGGTAAACGTGCACTCGCTCTACGATCACCGAAGATAGTTAGATACTATTTATTTTTCAGATACACTCACACACATATATATGTACATCAACTAAACATAAGTACAATTACAAGTGCAAATGAGCACTTTCATCGTTTTTTATAATTTTTTAATGTATTGTATTGTATTTTATTATTGTAGGCATGCATGTGTGTGTGTGTGTTTTTTTTTTTTTGTAACATCTCGGCTGCTGGCAGTTATTTCGTGAATTATTTTTGGGTGGTTATAAATAAGAGCTACACCGGCTACTATAGATCATTTAAAGCCATACTTTCGACGCGTTTGAAACGTACGAGTTCACGAGCCTACAGTAAGGCGCTGCGCAACGGATTTAATAAGGGCGAAGTTAGTTAAGTGAATACATATGGCAGTAATTAATGAGCTATTCTATAAAAGTGAAAAGGAATTATTAGAGCTCTAAAATAAAAGTGCAAATTCACTTAGCCTTCAGTGCTTAATTTCTAAAAAGTGTGAATTAAATTAATAAAGTGACTACAACTGAATTAAAAGTTCTAAAAATATATAAAAAAACGTGTAGAAAGTAAAGGAAATATAAAAAGAATTTCGAGAAAAGTTCTAAAAGTAAATTAAAATGTTAATACAAAAAATGGTGAGTTATATGAGAACAACTTTTAATATTTTTGCATTTTTACCACCGATATATTGTGCTTTCGAATTAACAATGTTTTCAACACACATTTCAAAAAGACTTCACGCGTACGCACTTTCGTTATAATTTAAATTTACATTCAGAATTTGCTTAAAAAAATGCTGAAAGTGTGCAACTGTAACGGTGGAGCTAATAATAACGCCGCGCTTTGGAGAAAACTTAGTCTTTAATTTTATACTATCAAGAAAGCTCAAAATATGCAACTCGGTGATTATAAATTTAATAAAATTAAATGCCTTTTGTAATTGAATTGAAGTTTACCTTTTATAAATATTTTCAAAACAACAGCGAATTGCGCTTAAATATTTCGTCATATATATAAAAACCATCAGTATTTTTTTATCAACTGACCCAAAGCACTTTTGTTTGATATCAGTTTGAATTTTTATTACAAAAAATGAAAAATTTATTACAAAAATCAATAATACTAAAGAAAAATGAAGTTGAGGAAATACAAAATATTCCAAGAATTTTTAATTTATTTTTGAAATCATTGCCGCTTCCAGCGAATGTTTGCTTTCTCCGTATTATGTGCTTTAAACCAACCTCGTTGTATATTTTTAATATTTAAAAAGTGATATTGTCTTTAGGACATCATGAAAAAAGATGGCTATTCAAGGGTATACAATTTAATTCCTGCTGATATATTGATATCTGGTTCAAATTCTGGTGTCGTACTAACGTCGTCAAAGTTATAGAAAATTAATTTAAAAGAAAAATTAAGAAAAATTTTCTAATCGGGGTCGCCACTCGGCAGAAAATGTCAACACCTCCGAGTGACATGAAATAAAGCTCCTCATAAAAAAACCATCAGCCGTTCGGAGGCGGCTTAGTACAAACTGTAGATCCCTCCATTTGTGGCAAAACCACAAATTGAAGGAGGAGCTCGGCCGAAAATCGCTTCAGCGGTTACAAAGCGCCAATTATACTCGTATACTAAATATATTTTTATATTGAGATTTTTTTCTTACATATTGATGCTCAGAGAAAATTATTTCTGCAAAATTGTTAGTATAAAAAATTGATGGCGTGATCTTGTTTTATTTCATGAAAATTTATAAATCGGTTTCATATAATGCATAAAGAGTGCTTAAACCTAAAACTACGACCAAAAATATTATGTATGTATTTTTGCAAATATAATTTTTTGGTATTCTTTTCGTGATATGCCACTGGCACAAAGATAATAGTATTCTTTAACATCAAACTGAAACTTTTCATTATAATAAATTTGATTTTCAAATACATACATATTTTATACTAAGGATATCACTTTAAAATATTCTCATAAAAACTAAGCGATCGCTAGCTCTTACGACCAGACACGAAGCATTAATTTTGCATCACGACAACGCTCAGACACATTATGCAATGCTGCTTAGAACTTATTTGGAGAACAGTGGCTGGGAAGTTTTGCCTTATCCGCCTTACGCCACAGACCGGACACGCCCGCGCAGGGCTACTGTTGTTACAGCTTCAGATTGGAAATATTTTAAATAATACAACGAGTACAATGTTGTACATACAATCACTGCAGCAGTGAAGGACCTTTTTTATCGCGCCGTTGGAGATCGACTATAACTTAAAAAATATTTAATTTCTTTCTTCAAAAATTTCATCTTATATTCTTGAAACATGTATAAATGAATTCCAAAAATTTTGAAATAATTGATAAAGCATTTTTTTAAATAAAAATTCCCAAAAATCAACTTTTTTTAGGCCATTACACTAGGTGGCGCCCTTAAACATCGAAATCATAAGTCTCTTGTCGTAACTTTGTATTTTATAAGCCTTGTTTAACAATTAAAAATAGTAAATTCAAATGGACTGCACCGCTCGCGTAGATGACATTCTGAGCGGATTGAAAAAACGCGTTTACTTTGAAACATGTTTTAAGTGCGAAATATTCTGTACAAAAACCAAGTAATTTGAAAAGTTTTCAAATTTTTCGCAAGCAAATTAATGAGATTTATATACAAAATCGAGGAAAAAGTAATGTCACGCCAGCTACAGCAAATTTTTTTTTTTGCTGTGGACAGAGGTTCTATAAGTAAAGAAAGTTGCTTCCTTCGCCAGCAATATGATGGCAACTTGGCTGTGAGAGTATCGAAATTCAATAGTAGAATAGAACCGTTAGTCTCATTTTCAAGGTGAGAGTGAGTATTCAGTCATCTGTAAGACTTTTGTTCGTTAATCTGGAATGTAAAATTTTTTATTCGCTCCCCCCAGGAATAATATCAAAACAGAATGCGGAATCTATGTGGATAATACCTTGATTTAGTATAGTTTCGAGCGCCATTGTGGAAACGCTTTCTTGTTTTTTCATAAAAGCGCCTTTATTTACGTTTATTTCCGTAAAAATATTTTTATTTGAATTTTTTAAATTACACCTTAGATTTTATTTAAGAATTTTAGTTATTTTTGTTTCCGTTTACCATGTTTCGTGAACTCCTTATATATTATATTTAGTAGTACATTCATAACTAAATCATGCCGCCCAAATTGTCGTATAGCATTTACTGCTCGTTATTACTTCACCAGCATTAAGATACTTGTGTAGGATTAAATAATAATTCAAATCTATTAGCGCTAAGGTGTTAATTGTGAAAGTCAATATTGAGGCAGCAAAACGACGTAGCAGTAACAGCATTAGTTATGCGTCGCATGCTATGCGGATAAAAATGTATTGGCAACAAGAGCAGCGATAGCAATAGAGTATCATCAACATGAGCTATACTCATTAGTTACTTTATATTTGTTACTTTATATGTGTGTAATTGCGTTTGCATATAATATAAAATAAATATAATATACTCATATCACATACATATGTATATATGCGCTTATACTGGCCGTATAACTATGTAAATACGAGTACATATACTACATATGTATGTGTGTATACCAAGAATAAGCGGCAGCGGCAAATGCTGCATGCGACAGCTTTAAATTTTGCGGAAGGTTGTAGGATTTTAACTTTTGAGTTAACAACAAATTGCTACTTCTAAGTAAATATAATTTTTTCTGATTTAGGGTAAATCGCAAAAATTGTAAAATTCTAAGAATAAACAGAAAAAAATACACGCTCATCATTATTTCTGGCTATCATCGACTTTTCTGACGATTCTTAATAAATTCAGCAAAGAGATTAATTCCAATACATATCGAAAATACATACATACTCGTACATATATACATACAAACATACAAACATACCTGCCTGTCATACACAATGTGGTGCAAAAATATGTCAATACGATTTTTCCACAACAACTTTTTTGGCTTACCATTGAAACACAGCTACTCTTTAGGTCAGTGCATGTTCGAAATAGTAGCCACTTGGCGATAAATTTCAGTGGCCAACGAGCAGACTTTGATCTTTTTCAAATAATGATTCGAATTCTTTCCAAAAAACGACTTGAGATGTTAACCGAAGCGGTGTCATTTGGTATCGAACAGCTCGCAGAGGTCCTTCCCAATGCTGACCGCGCTTCTGGTCTTGTCTAGCGTCAGCTTACACAGCCGTATAAGTTTTGCGGGGATAACAAATTCAGACATAGCGGCATGAAGGCAGCACCTTTTCGTGCTGTCGAAGGCGGTTTTAAAATCGACGAAGAGGTGGTGGGTGTCAATTCTCTTTTCACGGGCTTTTTTTAGGATTTTTCGCATGGTGAATATCTGGTCAATGGTTGACTTACCAGGTCTGCGGCCACACTGATAACGTCCAATCAGTTTGTTGACGGTGGGCCTCAGTCTTTCACACAATACGCTCGACAGGACCATATAGGCGATTCTAAGGAGGCATATCCCAAGATAATTGCCGCAGACTGTGGGGTCCCCTCTTTTTATAGATTGGGCAGAGCACACTTATATTTCAAACGTCGGGCATGCTGCTGCAAAGTAGCTGATGCATGCACCTTGTCAGCACTTCACCGCCATGTTTGAATAGTTCTGCGGGTAGGCCGTCAGCTCACGCCGCTTTGTTGTTTTTTAAGCGGGCGATTGCTATTCGAACTTCTTCATGGTCAGATAAAGAAACGTCTTTTCCATCGTCATCGATTGGGGTTTTGTGTTCACCATCTCCGGATTCTGCATTTCTTCGTCTCCATACTTCGGATTACCAATCGAAAATAAATGCAAAAACGGAATTTCGACTTGTTTTTACTGTTTTTCTTAAGTCTTGGGAAAAGTGGCTATTGAATAGATCTGTTGGTCACTTATGTGGCCACGCCAAAAAAAAGTTTGGGCAGCACTGCTTTAGGTTTTATAATTTGCTAGGTGAGTATTCAACCTATATCCACTGGTGTAATAGACAAGTCGGAAATGTTCTCCCCAAAGGTCAGGCAATAAAAAAAAACTCTTTGACACAATTTTGCACATAACTGTATTCGTATGCACATTTACAATTATTTTATTTACGAACAAATTATGCAAATTTGCCTTTTTTGTGCATCTTATAAACAATAAATACGTAGGTAAGTGTACTCATGCATACACATAAGTATGTATATATATTGTATTATATATGGCTGTGTAATTGATCGCAAACATTACTACATATTATATGTATGTATATGTGTTGTTTTTTATGCAAAAAAATATCACATTGTTTCACTTACTTTTTTATGCGCGTAACAGTAAAATTTTATTTCTTTAGCAAATATTGTATATCTACATGTGTACAGATGTGATTTACAGTTAGATGCAATTATTTTTAAACATTGAAATAATAAATGCTTTTATTGCTTAAGGCCAAGGCCAAAATTTATTGTTCCAAAATTTAACATTTTAGTTATTTAAAGATTTCTTTCCTCCCCGCAATATTTAGAATGTCTGTTTATACATATATGCAGTAATATACTTATGTATTGTACAATGAAATCTTTTTTCGGATGTATTTAATATTATGAAAAAAATTAAGGATTATTTATGATAAGCAT